TTTAGATCGAATTGTACTCTGAATAAATTATTACATGATTTGAACTGAGAATATAGCTTGCACATTTATTGGCTACACGATGTCTAAATATATGTTATTTACCGGCTGGGAGGTCCGTATAGGAAAACACTGCCCGAGGTCTTGACAGTACGGTACATAAAAGACGGAGGGCAGTGTTTTTCTATACGGACCGACCTATAGCCGGTAAACATTTTTTTTTTAGTTTCTATTTTATGCAACTTTGCTCGTAGCATAGCTACAGGATACCGTCGGGCCGGGCAGATTGTGAAAAACTTGACCGCGCGCTAGCCAATCACAGCGATCGAATGACTAGGATACCGGACCGAAAAAAATTACTATAATTTGAGTCTCTTTTCGAAGCGTGCTGCTATATATAAAAGGGGTTATCGACAGAACAAATTTATCAAGGACGCGACAAGTTAGTCGAATTTTTTAAAGATTCTTCAATCGGCATCATGTTCACAAATATTTTGACTTTCTTTGTGGCTTCCGCTGCTATCATTGGRAATTCTTTAGTCTGTCATATCATCCTTCATACGAAATTTGTCAAGAAAAGCGCGTTTAACTACGTCCTTCTCAATCTGGCCATCTTGGATGTAATAACATCAATACTGGCAGTATACAAAGCTTTGCTTGATGGTCCGCTGTACGTCGAGGGCAAGGGCGATGGTATCATGAGAGTTTACAACCAAAGTCATGTTGGAGCTGAAATTATGTGTAAGATAAGACAGTCTTTTTGGATTGGAGCTCAAGCGACCCCAGCGTTCCTCTTATTGATAGCCTATGAACGCTATAATGCTATAGTTAAACCTCTGAGCAGGCGAAGTTCCAAGAGAAAGGTGCAGATATTGATATTGAGCTGGATATGCGGAAGTCTTTCTTTGRTGGTTTTCATGGTATCAAGAAATGTGGGCGACAACGGGTGTCAGTCAGTCATATCACAGTGGCTCAACCGTAGATTGTATCTTATCGCATCCTCCGCAATTTGTTTTCTTCTCCCTACTGTAGTAATGTCGGTTCTCTACTACAAAGTGTACAGGCAGCCGTTGAGAGAGCAAGAAAGTCAGCGATGCGAAAGGTCATCGCTATCATCATCACAGTCACAATCYTTTTCTATATATTTTGTGGGATTCCTCAGCTTGAACACCTGCCAGACTACTTTTTGGTTTCACTTGCAAATCCTTTGATTTATTTCATTTTTCTTAAGTCGTTCAGAATGGGACTCAAATCATTTCTCAAATGCAGCATTAGGAATGACCGATTTCTTTCCACTACGAATTCACAACAASTTCAAGTCTCCAATTACGAGAATATCATATCACAAGATGACAAACACATCGAACTCTTAAGTATTAATGGGCTATCTAAGCGATAAATTGAGGGGAAGATGCGAGGAATAAAGCAAAAAAGTATTGTTTAAAACAGACTTCCCAAGACTAAACAAACAAGACATTGCCAATGTTGGTAATCTTACTCTATTTTGTTTTTGTGTCGAATTGATTAACAGTTAGTTTTCTTAGTATCGTTTAGGCGTCATTAGACTAACCCTGAAATTGAATTCATTCAAAGTTTCCATGAAAATATCGACAACTTCAAATTTGCAAATCAGAAGAGAGGATTTCTTCAATTCTAAGATTCAGCAAATTTACTTTAGCAACTCAGCATTATTTTTTTCAGCGCAAAATTCACAATATTTCGCTTGGTCTTGTGATGAAATGAAATTGTTAGTGTCCTTAAACAATCCCGGATATTAGAACAGATGTTATTTCATAGGCAACACGATTCAAAAGGCAATTAGAGCTACTTGTACTTATGAGAAAACTTAATTCAACATTGTACAGACCACACTTGATTAACCCATGCATAGATAACTATGTCGGACATAAAGATATGAATATGAGGACCGCATATATGGGTACCACAAAAAGACCACAATTTTGAGTTCTTGAACATCAATTACCTCTCTTAGCTGTAAATGGACAANTAGCACCCCCAGCAGAGTTACCAAATATTGTCACCCGTTTTGGATCACCTCCGAATCTGAAACCAAAAAAAAGAGATAGATAGAAATCAGATCACCACAGTCTGCGTTTTGGAGAATAATCGATGATCGAATTACACATTGAAATACTTCGATTTCGAGCTTGAAATTCGATACAGATAATATTTGTTAGTATGCCAATAAGAAACTCAAGTTCATTTTAAAAAAAAAGTAGGTACCAGGAAGATTTTTCTGGTGATAAACATATGGTACATTTTTCAAAAGATTTTCACAACCATGGGCAAACAGGTCTCAGAAAAATATTTGTGTGATATTTTATAATAATTGTTTCTCTAATTTCATTTAGCATAGAATGAACTATGTTTGTGTAAAATTTCAGCGTGATTGGATTGTTTTTAAGGCCATTGCATCGCTTTGTTTTCGACCTTTGGAGAGAATGATTACGAGACACGATAATTATGTTGCGTCGGCAATATATTACTTTGGCGAATTTCTCTCAAAAATAAAAATTCCTGTAATCTTTGAATATCCTTTTTGGAAAAGGTCAACCTAAAGGTGTCATCTGGCAAAGTACGAAGAATTTGACCGAGACGTCGCTGAAATCAGATTCTCGATGCTTGGGGATATTCGATCAATCTTTAAAAACTGTAACAAGAATATCACGAAGATATCAATTTGTTGTGTGGAAGAACACAGCTACTCGATCGTGCAGCTAGACACAATAATTGTGCAAACTTCGTCAAAATGGAGTTACGAAATGTAAAACTCTAGATGTCATATTGCCCTATCGCATAATTACGTTAACGCTAAGGATTATGGTCGCCGGATGAGATCAGAGTCAATGCATATTACATAGAATGTAGATTGGATTAATGGCACTGATCAATGATGTACATCAAAACTCGATACACTAGAATTCCACTCTTGGAAAGAATATTCTATTATGGAGTCTTTCTGAGCATCCATTCACAATGTAAACATAAAAACCAAACAATAATACCAAACAACTTACCCTGCAATGTTTCGATTAACCCACTTTAAGGCTTCTATCTGGTCAAAAAGGCCATAGTTGCCTCTTAACTCAAAACCTTTCGTGTGACGAAGAAATCCAAACATATCTACCCGGTAATTGATTGCAACAACAATAACATCTCCTAATGTTGCCAAATAACTGCCATCGGCTACTCTGTTTGAGCCACCTGTAAATCTACCTCCATGAATCCAAACCATCACAGCTCTTTTGCTGTCATGATGGGGCGGCAGGAACATACACGTTGAGGTTTAAACAATCTACATCCATGTCTTTGATTTGTAGTTTGAAAGGACTGGGACTGCTCACACTCATGGTTAAACTCTGCCAACAAACTTTCCCAAACGTTTCAATCACATTTTAACACCTATCCATGATTGTCGTAGAGGGCGAGGTCTCTCCAACCGTTCTGCACGAGCGTAACGAATGCCGAGGTATTTGTGAACAACCTGGTTGCTTTTTAAAGTTACTGCAAACCCTTGGATTTTACCCCCTTCAATTGCAATAGGATCTGGCTTGGTCGCGAAGACATTGTGTAGAATAGCACAGAAGAATATCAGAGCCCACATTTCTATGGTAGTGATGGGTACTACAGTGATACTGTAATATATAGCGAACAAAGAGTATTAGATTTCATTCACACTGACTTGATCTCATTCCCGCTGTAAAAACAAGTTGTATGTGTTCATGTTGTATATCATTTTGTGGTAACGATCTCTGGTCTTTTTATTGAGCTGCAGAAATTCTAATGTATACTATCTAATAGATATAGTATTTCAATACATTTGTTAAAACTTTGTTTATCAGTACTACCTAAAACAAAACGTTTCAGTCTCTGATGCCCATTTATAGCACATTACTACCTACTTAATGCGGGAATAAAACTAACAGTCACACCTATAAATCAACGCGATAAATGAACAGTTACATTGGAACGGAAGCAGTACTGTCTTAATGGCTTGTGATCAGAATCACTGCACTTGGTAACGC